ATGGCATCAATAATTATATGATTCATGATAGTTTAAAATTGACTTGGTCATCTAAGGATAGGTCATTAAGGTTTGAATGAATTGATTTGAAAGTCAATACCAATTATTGAAATACCATGATTAATTGATCTATATATGATATTATAATTGAAAGATTTTTAAATTAATATGATTTCATTATCTTGATATTCATTATTCCCATAATTACACTCCTGACATGTTGAATGATTTCAAATTATCATGAAACTGATACAGTAGTGTTTATTCACCATTAGTAAGGTACTGTATCAATTTCATAATGATCTGTATAGTGCATGTCATTGTCACATCCCTGTATGTATCAAGTAGATCAGCCATGTACCATGTATTATATGGATGAAGGTAAAATTGATATTAATGTATTTCATTATCATGTATAGATGTATTGGAAGTGAATTGAAGTGGTATAGATTTCTACTTTCAATGTTAATATAGGTCAGTTGACAAGTTGAATAGTAAACATCCTGAAATGATACCAAAGTATTTGAAATTGATATATATTGTTATTAACATGATTTATAATGTGATAAATTGATTTGAAATGATTTTGAAATGTTTTCATTGATATTCTAATTGTCTAATCTATTTTATGAAATTGACTTATATAAGTCATTATAATGATGTTATATTATGTTATTATATGATTATATATTCAATTTGGAGTATATTGATATATAATATATTGATTTATAATGAGTATTTATTGAGATAATGAATTAAGATGAATAAAAGTAAAAAAGTTGGGTCTGACCTTAGTCGTGGGTTTGGGTTTGGGTTTGGGTTTGGGTTTGGGTTTGGGTTTGGGTTTGGGTTTGGGTTTGGGTTTGGGTTTGGGTTTGGGTTTGGGTTTGGGTTTGGGTTTGGGTTTGGGTTTGGGTTTGGGTTTGGGTTTGGGTTTGGGTTTGGGTTTGGGTTTGGGTTTGGGTTTGGGTTTGGGTTTGGGTTTGGGTTTGGGTTTGGGTTTGGGTTTGGGTTTGGGTTTGGGTTTGGGTTTGGGTTTGGGTTTGGGTTTGGGTTTGGGTTTGGGTTTGGGTTTGGGTTTGGGTTTGGGTTTGGGTTTGGGTTTGGGTTTGGGTTTGGGTTTGGGTTTGGGTTTGGGTTTGGGTTTGGGTTTGGGTTTGGGTTTGGGTTTGGGTTTGGGTTTGGGTTTGGGTTTGGGTTTGGGTTTGGGTTTGGGTTTGGGTTGGGT